CTTCTGGGCCTGTGCAAAGAGTGCATGGGGGGAGCAAAGGGGCTTACCTCATGGTAGCTAAGAGGCAAGTGGGGGGTCCTTGCAGAGTCGATGTCATGCCACCAATAACCAGCGCCCTTCCTCTTGACCCCACTCCCCTTGTGCGGCAGTGCTCCGGGCTGGCAACCAAGCCTTTACCATAGGGGCCTTCCAGAGACATTTGAGATCAGAACCAGATAATGGTTTCATCAGTGGTTAACAAATCCCCAGCATCTTAGTTAAGATTTAGATAAGATACTCCATGGGGCATGGCAGGACAATCTTTTTTTTTTTTTTTTTTTTTTTTGGAACTGGGGACTCAACTTGGGCACAAAACCACTGGGTCACATCCCCAGCCCTATTTTGTATTTTATTGAGAGCCAGGATCTCACTGAGTTGCTTAGCACCTCACTTTTGCTGAGGCTGACTTTGAACTCGTGATTCTCCTGCCTCAGCCTCCTGAGCTGCTGAGATTACAGGGATTACCATCGCACGGGCACCATCGCTCGGGCACAATCGGTTTTTATGAGGTAGCTCTAGTGGGAACAAAACAGCAACACAGTATGAAAAGCAACTGGCCAGAGTGGCTGCAGGCAGTTCTCGTAAGGGCTAATGCAGAGGGACTGCCTGAGAAGCAGCTAGGACTAGACTGTTGTGGGTGGCTGTTGGCTGTCTCCTGATTTCATTGAAGATCTGATAGACAATTGAGTTTCTGTTTGATGACATGAACTTTAGCATGCTTTGGTCTGTTAGAGTCTAGTGTGAGAGCTTAGACCCCAACAATGATTTTCCATAAATTGTGTTTAACAGATAAAAGGCAGTCATTTTCTGCTTTCTGGTGGGAGAAAACAGATCAAAACAAGAGAACTACTGAGGCCACTTCTCCTTCTGTATCCAAAAAGCTGACTTGAGAAAACAAAATCATCACTTAGAGTGGGAAAGCCCTCCAGGAATAAGATGGTTGAGCAGTGGCTAAGCCACAGTGTGTGTTAAATCTCCAAGGTGAGAAGTAGTGGAGGGTGTACCTGAGGTGCTGCTTAGCAATGAGCAGTCAAACACATAGCAAGGTCACAGGTTTCCTCGAAGTTCCTCTTACAGTGTCCTTTACGTTACTGCCAGGGCAGACGTGTAAATTACCTGTAGCAGACAACCTAAAATCATTGGTACACAGACTTTGAGAGTAAGCAGACAGAAGCAGAAGGAGCTAATTGGGAAAATATGTCAAAAGAGAAGGACCAATGGGACAGACTCTGTCAGGGTCCACTGAGGTGTGTGATGCTGAGGTGTCTCCATGCCTGGGAAAGGGAGGTCTCTTTATTTTATGTAAATTTTTTAAATTTATATATGACAGCAGAATGCATTACAATTCTTATTACATATATAGAGCACAATTTTTTATATCTCTGGTTGTATACATAGTATATTCACACCAATTCGTGTCTTCATACCTACCTGTACTTTGGATAGTAGTGATCATCATATTCTACCATCATTAATTACCCCATGCCCCCTCCCTTCCCCTCCAACTCCTTTGACCTATCTAGAGTTTGTCTATTCCTCCCATGCTCATGCTCCCTATCCCACTATGAATCAGCCTCCTTATATCAAAGAAAACATTCAGCATTTGTTTTTTTTGGGATTGGTTAACTTCACTTAGCATTATCTTCTCTAACTCCATCCATTTACCTGCAAATTCCATTATTTTATTCTCTTTTATCGCTGAGTAATATTCCATTGTGTATATATGCCACATTTTTAATCCATTCATCTACTGAATGGCATCTAGGTTGGTTCCACAGTTTAGCTATTGTGAATTGTGCTGCTATAAACATTGATGTGGCTGTGTCCCTATAGTATGCTGTTTTTAAGTCCTTTGGGTATAGACCCAGGAGAGGGACAGCTGGGTCAAATGGTGATTCCATTCCTAATTTTCCAAGAAATCTCCATACTACTTTTCATATTGGCTGCACCAATTTGCAGTCCCACCAGCAGTGTATGAGTGTACCTTTTTCCCCACATCCTCGACAATACTTATTATTGTTTGTATGCATAATATCTGCCATTTTGACTGGAGTGAGATGAAATCTTAGAGTGGTTTTGACTTGTATTTCTCTAATTGCTAGTGATGATGAATACTTTTTCATGTATTTGTTGATTGATTGTACATCATCTTCTGAGAAGTGTCTCTTCAGATCCTTGGCCCATTTATTGATTTTTTTTTTTTTTTAGTGTTTAGCTTTTTGAGTTCATTATATACCCTAGTGATTAGTGCTCTATCTGATGTGTGAGGGGTAAAGATTTGCTCCCAAGATGTAGGCTCTCTATTCACCTCACAGATTGTTTCTTTTGCTGAGAAGAAACTGTTTAGTTTGAGTCCATCCCATTAATTGATTCTTGATTTTAATTCTTGTGCCACAGGAGTCTTTTTAAGGAAGTTGGGGCCTAATCCCACATATTGGAGATTAGGGCCTACTTTTTCTTCTAATAGATGCAGACAGAGTCTCTGGTTTGATTCCTAGGTCCTTGATCCACTTTGAGTCGAGTTTTGTGCATGATGAGAGATAGGGGTTTAATTTCATTTTGTTGCAAATGGATTTCCAGTTTCCTCAGCACTATTTGTTGAAGAGGCTAACTTTTCTCCAATGCATGTTTTTGGCACCTTTGTGTAATATAAGATAGTTGTAATTTTTGTGGGTTAGTCTCTGTGTCCTCTATTCTGTACCATTGGTCTTCCAGTCAGTTTTGGTGCCAATACCATGCTCTGTAGTATAGTTTAAGGTCTGGTATAGTGACTCCATCTGCTTCACTCTAGGGAAGGGAGGTCTCTTTAGTAATGCAGATACACTGAGGTAACTTCTGGCCACTGTGCCCACATTTACATGGGATTAACTTGTAGATGAAACCCCTTCTGAATAGGGTGGCCACCATGACAGTTCTGGAGAGGATCAACTAGGGTCAAAAACTCCACCAACGTGAAGGAGGAACTGCAGAAACAGTGGCAGCCGCTCCTGCTATGCAAGCCTGTATGTCTTTTCTTGGTGTGTGGGCGGACCTAGTAACAGAATGTGTAAAGGTGAAGGAAGGTCACTTCTGAGGTTAGGTTACAAGATCATATTGTGTGTTTTAATGGGACCTAGGGCCTCACACATGCTAAGGAAATATTCTACCAGGGGCCCACACCTCCAATTCTCTCTTCGATTTCTTGGGGGAAACTGCTTTTTATGGAAAGGTGCAAGGGGCAGCAAACTGATGACTCCAGCAGAGGCTTGTCATCGGCCACCAGACTGCTTGAAAGAGGATTCTTTTTTTGTTTTTTTAATATTTATTTTTTAGTTTTAGGTGGACACAATATTTTATTTTATTTCTATATGGTGCTGAGGATTGAACTCAGGGCCTCATGCATGCTAGGCAAGCACTCTGCCACTGAGCCACAACCCCAGCCCCTTAAAAAAGGATTTTTAAGCAAGCATACACCTTGATGTAGACAGAGAGACAGAGACAGAGACACACTGAGTCATATGATCCAGGTGAACTGCACCTAGATTCCTGACCCACAGAAACTGCAAAAATAAGTTTATTGTTTGTTTTAAAGTACAAAGTTTGGGGTAAATTGTACCCAATAATAGATAACTAAGGACACTGATTATCACCCCAAATGTCTACATAAAGCCCCTAAAAATTTGAGTGCTGCAACCAGAGAAAAGCTAGTAATCTCCAGAAACAGCATATTTCTTTTGGAACAGTGAGATTTATGTGTTTTCCTTTTAGCTGTGGCCACCAGAAAGCTCAGAACCAACGTTGTGGCTCTATATCAATTGTTTTGCGAGTCCCTATGGCCTGGTTATCCTTTTATTCTGACTTGCCTTTTTCTGTGTCCTGATTTTTTAGTTCACTTTTATATTTTTCTACATTATCTGAATTATGTTAAGCCTCCTGAAATTCAGCTTACGGAAAAGTAGAGCAGTCATAAATAACTTTAAATACTTTTTTATTAAAGTATTACATATTTAAAAAAAGTTTTGCACAGGTTGGACACAGGTGACTGCCGGGAGTGCCAGGGAAGATCATGTCATTGAAGCGTGACTATGGAGCTCCGGGCCAGGGTTAACTTTGATTGGGTCAGAAATATCAAGTGATAAGACGAAAAAGGCAAAAGGATGGCAACTGATTGCCGGGCCTGCAAAGTCACGCACAGAGTTGTCTGAAATTCATTCAGCGCCCGCCCCTGAGGCCGGCGACTCACCGCTCCGCCGCGGACCCTGCCCCCCGCGCGCCGCGCCTCCCAGCGGCCCGGCCAGTCAGCGGTTGTGCGCACCGCTCCTCTCCGCTGGCCCCGCCTTCTGCCTTCGGCTCCGCCTTCCGCCACGCGCCGCTCCTTCGGGGTCTCGGCGGCCCGTGGATACGCGCTCCGCCCCTCTGGCCGCGCCCTCCCGCCCCACCTCTTCTCCCCCCGCCTCTCTCCTATCTTCTGGCCCCGCCCTTCTCTCTGGCCCCGCCCTCCACAGCGCGCCGTGCCTCCAGGGTCTCGGCGACCAGTGGTTGCGCGCTCCGCCCATCCGCTCGCGCCCGCCTTCTCCGTCCCGCCCCTTTCCCCACTGGCTCCACCCCTTTTCAGCCCGCCTTCCGCCGCGCGCCGCGCCTGCTGGGTCTCGGCAGTCTTCTGCAGTTGCGCATTCTCGTCCGTCCGCCCGCGCCCGCCTTCTCCGCCCCGCCCCCCCGTGGCCCCGCCCCCGCCGCGCGCCTCGCCGCCTGTATCTCGGAGGCCTGCTGGCGGTTGCGCGCTCTGCTCCTCCGCTCGCGCTCGCGCTCGCGCCCCGCCCGGCTCGCTCCTCTCGGGGCGGTTGGGCCGCGTGCCTGTGGGGGCGGGGCCCGGAGGCGGCTACCGAGCCAATGGGGCGCGGCGGCGGCGGCGGCGGTGGCGGCGGCGAAGGCGGCGGCGGCGGCGGCTGGGTCGGGCCCCGACGGGCGGCGGCGGTTGAGGAGGAGGCGGAGGGCGGCGGCGGCGGGAAGATGGCGGCGCCCGTGCTGCTGAGGGTGTCGGTGCCGCGGTGGGAGCGGGTGGCCCGGTACGCCGTGTGCGCCGCCGGGATCCTGCTCTCCATCTACGCCTACCACGTGGAGCGGGCGAAGGAGCGCGACCCCGAGCACCGTGCCCTGTGCGACCTGGGGCCCTGGGTGAAGTGCTCCGCCGCGCTCGCCTCCAGGTAGCGCGGCGGCGGCGGCGGGGACCGGGGCGGCGGGAGCGGGGCACGGGCGGCGGCGGGAGTGGGGCGCGGGCGGGGGCGGGCGGCCTGCGGGCTCCCGGCCGCCTGCGCAGGCCGAGCGGCCCGGGGCGTGGGCCGGGCCGGGGCAGGTGCCACCGCAGGCCGCGGGACGCGTGCGGCCGGTGACATTCGCCGACCGGCGCGAGCGCGACCGGCCGGTGAGGGACGCCCTCACCGAGTGCGTCCGATTGCCGGACGTTTGCTCGCGGCGAGGCCGAGTGAGGTCCGGTGGAAGTTTGCGCTGGACCGGCGCTAGTGCCCCGCCGGGCTGCGGGCGGACCTGAAGGTTGCCGGCCCGTGCAGCGCGCACTCACAAAGACGAGGCACTTGCTGAACGGGTTTCCACACCGGGCGGTTTAGTTTTTTTAAAAAACGTGATTGATTTGTCAGTTATATTTTGTTTTAATGCATTAAATTTTCCTAGGTAAGCTACTTTGAAAGACCGGGGACTTGGATTTTTAAGGTGCTGTTTTTTATAACGGGGTCTCAGCAAAAGTGAAAAGAATGATTTCATAACCATATCCCTAATATTTTGATGTTTGTAAACAGTAGTCACATTTGAGACATTACTTCCCCTCTTGTGGATCTGTAAATTGCTTGATAAACAGAAATGTATAGCTCCCTGGTTTATTTTGACCCACATATTGATAATTACAAACAAACTAGCATCTGGGAGTTTGCCTTGTTTCTGTTTGCAAACTTCAGGCTGCTGATGTTTCCCACTTGTCCTTTTTCATGTACCAGGTACTCTTTAATTTGATCTTAAACCATATTCCTGTACCTGCTTGAATCCCTGTTGAATCTTCCTGGTTGCATTAAACATTTAAAAAATGCATTTACAATGTAGTTTACAGTGCAAAATATATCATTGTGACAAAAAGCTCACATTTGTTGGTTATTTGAACCAACTTGAGCTTTATTAGTTACAGATACTCCTTGAGATCCACTAAATATATTTTATGCAGACATTTTGATGTTATTTTTACTTTTGGGAAGGGCTTTTAAACTTAAAAGTATCCAACCCGAAGTTAGTTGAATGAATAAATACATAATGAGAAGTCTGTGCAGCAGCATATTTGAAGTATTAAAGAAACAAATAATAACTTGATATTAGATAAATAAGAAATTTAAACAGAGTCGGTCATAAGTTTTAGGGTTTTTTGGGGGGGAGTTGGTACTGGTGTTTGAACCCATGAGGCACTTTATCATTAAGCTACATGCCCAGCCCTTTTGGTTCTTTATATTTTTTATTTTGAGACAGGTTCTTGCTAAGTTGCCCAGGCTGGCCTTGAATTTGTGATCCTCCTGCCTCAGCGTCCTTAGTTGCTGGGATTACAGGTGTGGGACACTGCTCCAGTTTTGGACTTTTGGGGAACATTATGTAGTCTATAAAATTTTTAATAGACTTTTTATTATTTGGGCATGTAAAGAGTACTTTGTGTTTAAATTCTTAAAATTGACTTTTCTTTAAGAAGAAATGTTTTTGAACCATGTAGTAAGTATAAACTAAGAATTTTCATAAAATTATATCAAGTAATATCAATTAATATTAAAAAACATTTAGAAGTATTGTTAGATTAAAATAACTGGATCTCTACTTTTAAAAGTGAATTTACTATGTCGTGAATGAAACTAGTATTTAATTATGTAGCAATGTACATATTTCGAATTTGATTCTTGCCAAAAGATGGGTAAGAAATACTACTTGCTAATAATATGAATAAATAGTTCACTGGCTGTTTATATGATAAAGTTATTCTGAAGAAATGTATCCAGTTTGATCAGCCTGTTTTGTAAACTGCTTTCAAAATCCATGTGTGTACATGTGAATATTTATTGCAGATTTGGAAATTGAAACAGCTGAAGTCTGATTAGGTAGACTTATTTTCTTTTGGAAGTGGATTGAGTAAGCATCATTAAACAGTTTTATTTTGACAAGGTGAAAATGCCTTTCAATGTAAGTAGATTATTGAAGGCCTCAAGTTAGTTCAAATATTGATTGGCATATATCAGCAGTACAGAAAGATGTGACTGTTTTATGAGAAGGAAGTTTGAGTCCAGGTTTGAGTTAGTAGGATTAAAAGGTAAAGGATAAGAAAAGATTAACAGACGAAAAAGATTCTCAGGAGACTCTTCCTCTGGGATCCCGAGTTAACTTGTGATTTTGAATTACTTAAACTTACTTTATTCTTGTTTCTCAATTCTTAAATTTCCTAATTTGTCAAATAAGGTAGAGATTAATGAGACATTCTTAGGGAGTAGTATCTGTGTATAAAGGTCTTTAAAATTTTGAGAGGCATAATTACATAAGAGAATATTTCAAGATTTTGGATTTCAAAAGAAATTCAAAGTTGGGAGCTGCAACAGAACAGAATTGCAGTTTTTAAATTCTGTCAAGTACAGCCAATAAAGATAGCAATTGTAGCTGGGCATGGTGGGACACACTTGTAATCAATCCCAGCAACTAGGGAAGCTGAGGCAGGAGGATCTTGAGTTCAAAGCTAGCCTCAGCAAAATCGAGGCGGTAAGCAACTCAGTGAGACCCCATCTCTAAAAAAAATACAAAATAGGGCTGGGGATGTGGCTCAAGCGGTAATACGCTTGCCTGGCATGCGCGGGGTGCTGGGTTCAATCCTCAGCACCACATAAAAATAAAATAAAATGAAGATGTTGTGTCCACTGAAAACTGAAAAATAAATATTAAAAAATTCTCTCTCTCTCTCTCTCTCTCTCTCTCTCTCTCTCTCCCTCCCCCCCCCCCTCTCCCTCCCCCTCCCTCCTCTCTCTCTCTTTAAAAAAAAAACCAAAAAACAAAATAGGGCTGGGGATGTGACTCAGTGGTTGAGTGCCCCTGAGTTTAATTCTTAGTACCCGCCCCCCCTCAAAAGATAGTAACAACTGACACCACTATCTATTGCTGCATTTTATTTTTTAAGGATATTTTAACTCAGTTTGACAGAACATAATTTCAGAATAAAAGATCTTTAAATTGAATAATTTAGCTTTATCAAAAACTTTATTCCCCCCCCACCTTCAGTACTAGGGATTGAACCCTGGATGCTGTACCACTGAGCTATATACCTCCTCATGGCTGGCCTTAAATTTGTGGTCCTCCTGCCTCACCTTCTCCAGTAGGGATTACTGGTGTGTGCCACTGTGCACACTGTTTTTATTTTTTTTCACTTTTACATAAATTGGTGAAAACTCTGCTGTAAACCTGAACGAGCCTGTCAACCAAAATTAAGTAAGCACTTCTTGATTCCCTTAGTTTGGTGCTTCAAACTCAAATTCAAAGGATCTGGGTGGGCTCCTAGTTCTACCACTGCTTAGACTTGTGGCCTAGAGCCAGTTATGTTCATGGAACCTCTGTTGATTCTTACGTTAAGTAGGGATATCAAAACCTATTTTGCCAGATTAAGGTTGTGGCTCAGAGGTAGAGCGCTTGCCTAGCATGCTGTGAGGCACTGGAAACCACCAGTTTGGAAACCAGATTTCCAAACTGGTGGTTTCCACATAAAGTAAAATAAAGATATTGTGCCCACATATAATTAAAACATAAATTTTTTTTGAAAATCTATTTTGCCAGATCAATGTTAGGATTAAAGATGAACTAAAAGTATATACTCAGTTATACCTGTTGTTGATGGGAGATGTTCTGTTTTTTGCAGTGTCAGATCATGCATGTGTTTAAGTAAAATGAGTTTCTTGTTTTAGGTTAGTCATTTGTGTATTTAAGCATTAATTGTTTTAGTATAATTTATTGCTTACTCCCTGTCAAAGCATCAAGATGTAAAGCATTTAAAACAATTTCAGCCCAAGCTCAATGTCAAACACTTGCAGTCCCACCTACTCAAGAGTCTGAGGCAGGAGGATTGCAAGTTTGAGACCATCCTGGGCAATTTAAGTCCCTAAGCAACTTAGTGACCCTGTTTCAAAATAAAAAGGGTGGAGCATAACCCAGTGGTAGAGCCCCCCAGGATTCAATCCAGTACCACAAAAAAACAAAACCAAAAAAAAAAAAAAAAGGAAAGTTTCAGAAGTAGTGCAAGAAAAACAAAATAATATGCAGAATACTCTTTGTAGGTATTTCCTATAAGTTGCATTAGACTCCCTAGAAGGATTTCTATGTAAAATAGTACAGATAATCTTGAAAGATTAATAGACTTAACAATTCACAAAACATTTCCTTGTTTTACAAAATGTTGTACTTGTACCTGTTCCATAGCTAATAAATAAATAAAAACCCACCACCTATTCACTACTCATTCCCTATTGAAATAATGCAGTTTTATAATCTGTGGATTTTTATTGCTGCTCTTTGTCCGACAGATTCAGAGGTCCTGGCTTGCCCAGGGGAACACAGGAAGTAGAAGGTTAAGATTGGAAATCTGGTTTCCAAACTGGTGGTTTCCAGAGAACTAGCTTGGATCCTAGATCTATCCCTTGTGTGATTATCATGCAGGCCTGTGTTTGCTGTTTGAGATTTGAAGGATGGCTTAGCAGGTATAGTAAGGTCTCCTTTCCCCCCATTCCAGAAGTGTGCTCCTCCCTGTAACTCAGGGGGCTGTAGAACTTTACAGAGCCACTTTATTCCTTTCAGCATAGAAACAACCATATTGTTACCATCATTTTTTTAAACATGAAGGTGTTATCATAATTCTGACCTCTGTCTTCCTTTCTTTCTTTTTTTGGGGGGTGGGGTGGGGTAGTCTACCACTGAGCTTCACCCTTAGCCCTTTTATTTATTATTTTGAAATAGTCTCACTAAATTGCTGAGGCTGACCTGAAACTTGGAAACCTCTTGCCTCAGCCTCCCAAGTCACTGGAATTACAGGTGTGCACCACCATAGCCCTATTTGTATCCTCCTTCTTTCTTAGCATTCTATCACCACCATAGTTTTAAATGCTTGTAATCATATTTAGTGAAATGTTTATGAATG